CGTTTCACTTTCTTCTACTTTAGTTTCACATTTACAACTGACTCTCATTGTGCGTTTTTATTATTGTACATAATATAACATAAACTATGCATATACAGTACATATACTGTATATACGTGTGTATACAGTATGCGTGTGTATATATGTATATATAGCTACACACGTGCATACGTGTGCATTCATAGCACAATAAAACTAACGTTTATACATTCTTGTGTTATTGCTGTGTAAAAGTATGATTGTGTTATACAGAAATAACTTCAAATGAACAATCAAATATATTTCTTTATTACAATTTTATTTATTTATTAATTCTTTAATATTTACTTTCTTTTTCATACAAAATTTGTTCACCCTGTGTGAATTTCCTGTCACTTTGCTGCTGATGCACCTGAATATAACCAGAGGGTCAATAAAGACAATTTAAGAGAATAAAACTATGTATTTCAGCATGAAAGCTCTTATTTTTATTGTGTGACCATGTCAGTAACATAACTACATCTCTGCTGTTTGTAACAAACCAAATCATGTGAAAAAAATCATGGAGTTGCAATTATTTTAGTTGGATGAACAGCTTTCTCAGTATAAATAAAAGCGCTGGGAGCGCGAGAGGTACCTATTGAAGATGGCGGCTGGACTGATACGTCCTCTCCCAATAGGCAGCGGCAGTCCGTAGGGTATCTCCTGTACATGTATCTACGCTGTGGAGTGTCTGTCATTCAGCTGAAGACACAGATATTTGTATAGAAGTAAAGATGGGCAGGAGTTCACCATTCTGTGAAAAATAGTATATAAAAGGTATTGAAACAATATCAAAATAATTTTCCTCCACTTACAATTGGGAAGATTTTATTTACACCATCACCTACAGTTTGAATCATCAAAATATTTTAAAATTCTGGAGAAATCTGCATTCAAAGAACAAGGCTGAGAAGTCAGTATTTAATGCTTGTAATCTTTGGACCCTCAGGCAACTCTGCATTAAAAACTGMTCTGATTCTGTTCTAGAAATCACTTGTTGCATCAAATGTTTTCAGTTGTTGAGAGGCCTGGACTGCAGGCAGACCAGTTCATCACTTCTGCTCTTCTACTAAAAAGCTGTCCTTTTGTAATGGATGCAATGTGATTTAACGGTCTTGCTGAAAAATGCGGGACCTTCCTTGAAAAGGACATTTAATGTTTAGTCTTGTACAAGAATTACAGGAGATGTAATGGATAAAAATAAAAGATACCTGGTTTCTGTTTAACAAAATGATGTTGCTTTATGGTGGAAAGCAGCAAAACTTAGAATTTCAGCTTTTTTTAATCAGTTTGACCTGAGGTTGTCTTTTGCATTTTTCTTTATTTTTTTAAACAAACAAACAAAAAAATAGTTTTCTATCACAAAAAGTTGTCAGACAACACAAAACCCAAACATACACTTGTATCTTTAACTTATATTAAGTTTTACTTTTTTTTAAATCTTGTGAAAAAAAATCATATTTTTACAGCATCCTAACTTGTCCTCCTATGGAAAAGACTTTATCTTTAGAGCAAACTGTTGATAAACAACTTGAAGCTGTGCTAAAACCTGGATCAGCACATCCATATCTCCCTGAGTTGGACCAAGCTGCAGACCACAGGCAGTTCATCTGTACACAGTTGAATTATCAAGTACAATTATCCCACAAASAAAAAAACAGAAGCAATGCCAAAGGCTCAAAAAGCCATGGGTGACTGTCCCTGCTCTGGTGTGGTCCTTGTATGTTTGGCATCTTTAACTTGGCTGGGGTCTGTTCCTGCACCACTGGAGTCCTTTAGAGAGGTTATCATAGACGGGATCAAACTGTCGAGTTCCTGACGGTGCCCGGTTTCAAGAAGCCACTCCTGGAACTTTAATTCCACCAACTCCCGGAACTGTTGCTTCTGTTCTCTACAGAAAAAGACATCCAGGAGAAACTCAWCAAAAATTTAATATGTAAAAATCATAAAACAGACTATAAAAACTGATAAAGATAGGAAAATTCCAATTTAGTCACGCAAAGTCTAACTTTGTGGGCTCTGTTTAGCCTTTTCCGAAAGAGGTTTCTCCTGTGAAGAGTATCTGAGCTATAGAGCACCGAAGAGTTTGGGTATTTTTAYGTATTTGGTCAAAATCCCATTGATTGATACTTTTTTCTTTCAGTTTTACAATTTAGTCTACGCTCTWTGTAGAGTTACCAAAAGTCATAACACACTATTATACACATTTTGTTGTACAATTAATATGTTCTCAAAAATGCAAGACAAGATAAAGTTTTTTTTTTTATTTATTTTTTTTTACATAATGACTAAAGCTGAAGTCTGTTTGGATGTTTTGTGTCATTGTAAAGGTTGGGGTTTATGCTTTGCTTTTAAAAACAAGGCTGGAATTCATGATGACATCACAGGGCTCTAGACTAACTTTTTGCACTGGTTGCACTGGTGCACCTAACCTTTTTTTCTTATGCGCACCAGCACAAAAGTTATGTGCACCCAAATTTTCAACCACGTCGCATTTAGCATCAGAGTTTTACAGGTTATGATTTTTAATCACTGTTCAATAAGGCAACATTAACTCGAAAATAATTAGTTAACAATCTAGTAAACATAATGCTCTTTATTTGAACCAGAATTGTAGACATTTAACTTACTGAAAAGTATTTAAAGTGATTCTATAAAATTCTAAGTGCAAATGTTTAAGGGCTAAATGTCTTATAAACATATTAAACATTTCATGGTTACATTTCTTTAGACACYKGYCCCTCAGATGGACAACTCCTGTAGTTTGGCCCTATGGATCTTTGGCCTTGGATAAACCAGAATGATGAACAGAGAATATTGATAAATAACGGAAGTATTACTGATATTTATCAAAAGGTTGTGCAGATTTTTTAAAAATAATACCACATAACACTCTGCTATCATTAGCTGAATCTTATTATATTATTTCACTTAAATATCTAATATGTCTTGTTTTATCCTCCTGAGACCCAGAAGAACCTATTTCAGATACTTGGAATGTAACTGTGGTGAAACCGATTAAGTGTAACAGTGGACTGCCATACGCGTGAGCTTCCTTCCTCATGCTGCTGAAATGATCTGCGGCGCTCAGACCCCGACTGTTAAATTAACAAGATGGACTTAAGAGCGAGCAACCGTCCACATCTTGTTTTCATCTCCACGGTTAACAAGAAAAACAATGTTGTACAAACTCCGATCTGGGTGAAAAAAAAAAACAAAAACAAAAAAAACAGTTGTTCGCTAGGCATGTGCGCGCGCATGTGTGTGTGCATGTGTGTGTGTGTGTCTGTGTACAGATTTTTGCTTCATGGTGGGTACAATTATCGACCATTTCCCTGGTACACAAAGCCAGGTGAGGTTAGGGTTTGGGTCAGGTGTGTAGCCTACCTGGGAGGTTATGGTTGGCTACAGGGGCAGGGAAATGAATAGAAGCCAATGCAAAGTCCCCATGAGGATAGAACAACAGTGTGTGTGCGCGCGGGAGGTGTGGAGTGGAGCCCGGGAGCAGAGCGCTGTATTATAGGAGAGATGGAGACTGTCGGCAGCTGACTGTTATGGTTGATACTGCTGAATTCATTTTTTTTAATGGAACATGATGGAAACTTTTTGTTTCAGCTGGCGACCGCTCCCCCCTCCCCCTCGAATGATTGGTCGCACCAGTGTGACCAGACATTTTTTTAGTCGCACTATTAGGAAATCAGGTCGCATTTGCGACCAAATTGGTCGCACTCTAGAGCCCTGCATCACTCCTGACAAACAATGTTGCCTGGTGTGATGATGACCATGGCAGAGATATTGTATGTACAGTATGCAGCTGAAACAGCTGAAACAAATATTTCAACATTATTATTTCAATGTTAACATTTTAATATAACATTATATTTATTATAGCCTTTAGAAAAATGTTTTTTTGGAGAGGTCAACTTCCAATAAATGTCACTTTGGAAATTCTAACAGCTCACTTTTACTCAGCACCTTTACTTTCGTTACTTAAGTACTGTAAATGTCAGACACTATAAGACTTTGCAAATTTCCCCACTGTGGGATCATTAAAGTTTTATTTTATCTTAAAGTTTTTATCTTATCTTACTTAAACTTTTACCAAAGTAATTTTATGGTAAGATACTTTTACTTTCACTCAAGTATTGCTTTGAGATACTTTAAACAAGACTGCATCAGAGAACCATAAGAAAACCCACGTGAGCTCAAGGAAAATGTGCATTTTTCATCTAGACAGGCCACAGAGGCTGGTAGGCATACCTGTGGCCTTCTGGTTGTGAGGAGACAGTTCTAACCACTGTTATACCATTGGAGGTAAGGCTGTGTTGGAGACACTATTTTACAGTATATCATCCCACAAGTTCTTTACTGTTTGCAGTTTGGAGTGTTGAGGGCCTCTTTGACACTTACTTGCTCAACTGAGCCTCCATCACCATTTTCTGCCAGCTCTGAATTCTCTTCTGCTTTTCAGCCACTGCAGCCTTGTACTCGTTGGGTAACCCACCGGGCACCTCATATGTGTCGCCCTCCATCTGGAAAGGCACAGCCAGAATATGAAACTCCGATGGGGGCAACAGACGATAGCAGGCAGCATTCTGGCTGGACGACAGGTTGGGTGCAGAACTTGCTAGGCCGTCGGTCCCTAAAACCAAAGGCTGATTCCAGACATTGGGAACCACAGCAAGCCCCACACTGGCCATGTGGTCCTCCAGTGAGGGGTAGAACGTGTGGAAAGGACCCAGAATGATGTCCGTGTTTCCAGGCAGGAGCAGCGGTCGCGTGGGGGTCAGTGTGTGGACAGTGCAATGCGAGGAGGCACCAATTGCAACTCTGCCAGCCACACAGACCACACGTATGTTCTGGCAGCTGTAGATGTGGACACAGGTCTGGACTGGACCCAGAACCACTGTGCTGTTACAGCACTTATCTACACTGACGGATCTAAAACACATACAAAAAACTATAAATGAACTACAGCTCCTCAAAAAACGTTATGCATATAAACAGAAACCAACTATACCTGAGAGGAGAGAGAAGGTATATGAAGGCATCAGAACATCTGTGAATCTTTATATTGGCACCGGTCAGCTTGTCTGATGTTTTAGCCAGAGTCTGTTTAAAGACTTGGGACATCAGCACCATCTTACTGCCAGGTGGAGCTATGTGGGTATTCCTGGCTATCCTGGCTCTTTTCATGGCCCCTTCCACTGGAATGCACACACAACAAGCAGACAATTGAACATTTGTTCACAGGATGCAGACTGATAAAAAGCTACAATGCCAGAAGATTCCCACACACCTTGTTGAGCCCAGGCTAGTTTCTTCCCTGAGCGAAGGCATGCAGTGATCCCAAAGGGGTTGAGGACAAGGSTGTGTTGTAGACAAGAGAGGAGCTTGTGCAGGGTGAAGGAATGGCTCAGTGGAGAGTACCCAGCTTGTGTTTGGAGGGGACCCTTGGTCAGCAGCCGGTGGACTGGCTGAGCAGGTTTTCCATGACCAGCTGAACCTTCCATGAGCAGACCCAAGCTTCGCACAGCCTCCAGTGATACCTGGTAAAAACACAGATGTTTGTTCTAAATAACTATTTTAAGTCTAGATTTCAAAAAGCACTGTTGAATATGGCGTTCATGTAAAATGTTTACAGACACTCAATAATATAAATGTTGGGCAAAATTGGGTCTCTTTTAAAAGTGTTATTTCTTCAGACAAAAAAATTTATTTTATATGAAAAAAACCCACAAGTGAAGTTTTTTAAACCAACAAAGCAAACAGGTTACACATGTACCCAGAACTTTTGCTGAGCTGAGCTCCCTGACTAAAACACAATTTTTTCTATTTGAATAAAACTGACTATAAGTCTAAAATTTAGTTTATATTTCTACACCTTACCTGTGGATGATTAAAGGTACAGTGATACAAGTCTTTACCTCAAACTAATTGAGCTACTTCAACTACATCATAACATTATCTTATCTGTAGATAGGGATGATCGACAGCCGCAAGTTGGATAAAATTAAGAGTAATGTCCTACCATACATGAGTACATAATGTTGTGACAGACAGGTCGGCCCATCAATATACAGTCATGTGAAAAAGTTTGGGCACCCTTGTTAATTTTCCTGATTTACCTTTATAAATCATTGATTGTTTGGATAAAAAAATCAGTTAAATATATCATATAGGGGACAAACACAGTGATATTTGAGAAGTGGAAGGAAGTTTATATGATTTACAGAAAGTGTGCAATAAATGTTTAAACAAAATTAGGCAGGTGCATAAATTTGGACACCAAAAAAACCCTTAACTCAATACTTAGTAGATCCTCCTTTCACAGAAATAACATTCTCTTAACACTTCCTACGGCTTCTAATGACAGTCTGGATTGTGACTGAAGGTACTTTAGACCATTCTTCTTTACAAAACATCTCTACTTCATTCAGGTTTGATGGTTTCAACCATAGACAGCTCTCTTTAAGGGACACCACAGATTTTCAATAATATTCAGATATGGGGACTGAGATGGCCATTCCAGAATGTTGTACTTGTTCCTCTGCATGAAGGCCTTAGTAGATTCTGAGCAGAGTTTAGGGTCGTTGTCTTGTTGGAAGATGCAGCCCCGGCTTCAGCAGCTTCAGCTTTGTCACTGATTCCTGGACATTGGTCTACAGAAACTGCTGATATTGATTGGAATCCATGCGTCCCTCAACTTTAACAAGATTCCCAGTCCCTGTACTGGCCACACAGCCCCACAGCATGATGGATCCACCCCCACATTTTACTGTAGGTAGCAGGTGTTTTTCTTGGGAGTGCTGTGTTCGTTTTCCTCCACGCAAAASGRCCCTTGTTCTGCCCAAATAACTATTTTAGTTTCATCAGTCCACAGCACCTTATTCCAAAATGAAGCTGGCTTGTCCAAATGTGCTTTAGCATACCTCAAGCAGCTCTGTTTGTGATGTGAGTGGAGAAAAGGCTTCCTCTGCATCACTCTCGCATACAGCATCTCCTTGTGTAAAGTGTGCTGAATAGTTGAACGATGCACAGTGACCCCATCAGCAGCAAGATGAGGTCTTTGGTGCTGGTCTGTGGGTTGACTCTGACTGTTCTCAACAGCCTTCACTTCTGTTTATTCCAGATTTTTCTTGTTCTGCCACTTCGATCCTTGATTTAAACTGTGCCTGTGGTCCTCCATTTTCTCACAATGGAGAGTGAAAGCTGAAATCTCTGAGATAGCTTTCTGTATCCTTCCCCTAAACCATGACGGTGAACAATCTTTGTTTTCAGCTCATTTGAAAGTTGTTTTGAGACTCCCATGCTGCGACTCTTCAGAGAAGATGCAAAGAGGAGAAAAACCTACAATTGCCTGCCTTAAATGCCCTTTCTCATTATTGGAGTCACCTGTGTATGGAGACTAAGGGTCACTGAACTTACCAAACCAAATTTAAGTCCCCATAATTAGTTCTAAAGGTTTTGAAATCAATAAAACGGCAACGGTGCCCATATTTATGCACCTGCCTAATTTTGTTTAACCAATTATCGCACTCTTTCTGTAAATCATATAAACTTCATTTCACTTCTCAAATATCACTGTGTTTGTCCCCTATATGATATATTTAACTGATTTTTTTTAATCCAATCAATGATTTATAAAAAGGTAAATCAGGAAAATTAACAAGGCTGCCCAAACTTTCATTTGACTGTATATTGACAAGCTGACACCTGAACATATTGACATGCATATAAATATATTATATTGTATTGTATTATATATTATATTATATTTATTATGATGGTTCGACACCACCTACAAAGAACATCAGCTGTGACACCTCTGATGAAGACCAAAGTAAAACGTCGAAGCATGTCAGGTATGTCTGAAGAGACATAAAATGACTCAGTGTCTAGTAACAAAAGAAAGATTTTAGGATTTGTTAAATATAGACAATATGAACCTCATTGGATTATTATGTGAAAGTTTTGGACAAGACTGTGACAAGCTTCGTCGGCTGGACAAATTGGAGCTATAACAGGCGCGCCAGACAAACCATCTACCGGTATGTTTTAGTCTCCACTGCCGAGATGAGGGGTAATACCAACCARCCTCATCATTAAAAATATGATCAAACCAGCAACGCCAAACAGATGATCAAACGAGCGCAGATGGCGTTGGTAAAGGAACACATCAGATGCATGATACAAGATCAAAGACCTGGAGTTAGATCTGCAGTGTGAATTGGAGGACTTCAAGCATCAGTATTCCTTCAACAAACAAATGGAGGTAATGCTCAAAGAACACAATATGTATGAATATGAATATGAGAAAACAAAGAAGCGACACATCAAAAGGTTGGAAAATCTGATGGCCAAGAGGGACAAAATTAAATGCAAAATAGTGATGAACGACAAATGGATAAGTAATCATTCAAAATACAACTAAAATGAGTGGGTGAAAAATATACTGGCAGGCGGCCTTAAAGTGTAACTTACCCCCCATGTGAAAAGATAACTCCGCCCCAAGGCGAAATTTGAAAAATGCATCAAAGTGGGTAGGGGAGGGGGTGTGGGTGGGGAAGGGGAGTTAAGAGAGCGGAGGTGTGGCCAGGACGAGAGAACGTGACAGCTAGCATTAGTATAATTGATGCTACATGGAAAGTGACCACAGTATCGCAGACAGTTACATCTCTGAACGTCTGAGGTGGAGGATTTTCACCCCACACCAGCACCGGACAGAGGAGGAGGAGCGCTCCAACAGCCTGACAGAAAAAAATAAAAGCACGCAGCTTTTCACAAGATTGCTAGTTAAATCAGGAATAAAAGTGTTCTTGTTTGACTGAAGTTCGGTCCGGTTCCCATACATTTCAACCTCTTTAGAGGTTTACCTGTATAAAGAG